ACTGAATAAGGAGAAGGAGAGGGGTAATTAAGAAATGATTTTACATCCCCATCTCCACCCCCAAAACCCCCCATCCCTATCTAGCTTAAGAAGAGGAGTGCCGATATCAGGTACCCCTTTCGGAAGGCTTTTCTTATACATGTCCATATTTTCCTAATCGATTATAACAATGCATTTCAAATTTACAACAATGTTAATTGAAAATAAAGTATAAATTCATTATAGATTTAAACCAAGACCAAGGTTGTAGAAAAGAAACAAATTCTATACATATGCATATCAAATCTCCCATCCTCGAGGACAATATTGTGTCTCCATCTTCATCTCCATTCCTAATTATTATCTCTAATTTCGCGTATTTTGGGCGGCTTCTGATGGGATCCATCCCTGCAGAAGCTCCTCTAATGTCAACAACAAATGAAATTTATAATTAAGGGAAAATTCGTCGATTTTAAAAATCGTGAGGGTTCTAGTCCATTTGATTCTAAGACCACCGTAAACTCACTGGTAAACTGTTCTACCATAAATCTTACTGGATAATCCTATTGTAATGCATGACCACTTAATAGAAGGATTCAATATATATATATATATATACTAGTGAGGCTCATTATTGTCAAGATAAACGCTGACATATGTCAGAGGGTAAACCACTGCCTCTTTGTCGATTCTACCATGAAAGTTGTCACTTAATATAAGTTTCTATACTAAAGCTTAATTCAATTTATTATCTAGATGTACTGGATCAGAATAAAAAAAAAAATTGAAGTTAAAAATATTTTAAGAAAATGGGGAATACTATTATCACTATAGCCGAACTAAAAGTTTTTCATTTCTTACGAGTTTGGCTCTTGGAAGGGCATCTTTAATAAATCTCCAACGCAGAAAAATTTAGGACAAAAAGATAACATTAAAAAAAAAAAAAAATTGCTTATCTATATATAAGAAATGCCCATTTTTGATACTGTGTTTTTCAACCAAAACGGCCTGCATTGTTAAAAATGCTCCCCAAGGTTTTGCTCTTCTTTCATTTTAATCCTTTTTTATTCTTTTTTTTTTTTTTACTTACATACCTTAAAACTTATTTTTTTTAATTTTAATTTCTTTTTAGGTTTTTATATGTTTTTATTAATAACACGATAATTAAAACTCAATTACTTACTATACAATTACTCCGCACGTGCATACGTTTTCTTCAACTAGTAAATTATAAAGGCTTACCTTGATGATGTTCACTTAATTTTCCTAGAAATGTGAGCTAGCTAGCTTTGATTGTTCTGGTTCCATCAATCAATGATAGCTTTAAGCCCTCAATAACGACAACAACCACGCAATATTGACAAAATGTCCAAAACTATTTGCTTAACAGAAAAAGAGAAATTAAAATTAAAATTATTGCATTAGGCGTAATAAACATGTATGATTAATTCAGCACATGTCCGTATTTCTTGAATTCTCTTATGGAGTTATAAATTATGTGTCTATCCCAGTAAAAATTCAAAATAATAGCAAGTTCCTATTTCGGGGGTTATATTAAGAAAAACAGAAACCGAAGGGAAAAAGGTGACTACTAGATATAAAGATTAATATTTCTACTTATTTGTGCTCAATTAAGTTGTGTAAGCCAGCTAAAATCTCTACAGGTAACCAAAAACAAAAGGCAAATTTTTTTATAAAAAAAAAAAAAAGCTAAATCTCGCTGCGAAAGCATACAAACTGAATTAGATGAAAAATACTTTTATATGCTTACAGAATTTCAAATTATTCTTTTATGTACCGTGCCCTTTTATTCTTTGCATCAAAGAATAGAACATCATTTTCTCGTTATTTAATACTACAAAAGGGAAAAAAAAAAGTACTTTACTTAATTTTCCATAAAAATAAATAAATTAAGCTTCATATTATTAGTGCTCTGATAGGAAACATCCAATATAGTTTTTCGGCAGTATTCGCAATGCATTGAAAAATCTTGTGCGAAATACTGAAATTGGATTGTTTTTCTTGTCTTTTTCCTATTTTGTTTTCCTCATTTTTATGCATATGAATATCATACTAAAACATTCTAATACATCTCACCTTGCAAATGGGCCAAGGGACATGGAAAAGAAATTGATGATCTAATAAAAGATAGTACTAGATCCGCGTCCTCCACCTGCCCCTTTAAATTGGGTACTCTGCCAAAATCTAATCCAACCAACCAACCAACCATTTTATTGTCCGCATTCTTACATACATATGCATTCCCAGTACATATTCTTTTTAAAAAAATAATAGTAATAACCATCACGTAAAAGAACAAAAAATAATAATTCCTTTTGATGCTCATTACCTTATCTTCATTTACAGTCTCTTTTTTTCTCTATCTCTAGAGCACGTCCACAGCATGTCTAGTGGTTACTTTTATTGTTTTGATTACTCTATCAGTATAAAGCGAAAAAAAAAAAAAAAAAGGAACAAAAATCAGATAGGAACTACTTATAAGTAACTCAACGAATTAAGTCCCATATCCTATTTTATGAAAGTCATAAAAAAAATAAAAATAAAAATAAAGATGTTTAAAATCGAGTCAAAATCATAAACCTAATAAAAAAAGAAAAATATACAGTAAGCAACAACCTTACATAGAAGGCAATTAAAAAAAAAAAACAACTGAAAATAAATATCGGAATCATTTATACATTTTGAAAATTACCCATTTCATTTGGAAGCCTTCTAGCACCGGTGTACATTAAAGCTTGGTAATTATTAATTCAAGTTTAAAATTTTCAATATTCAAAAAATTTTCATATATAGCTTTTGTTACTATTAGGTTGGTCACACCAAAAACAAATAAACAAATAAAAAGAGAGATCAAGTTGGGGGGAAAAAATAGTAGTGAGCTGTTGTGAATCATTTTATCTTATCAAAAAGGATATGATATATGAAAGTTATCCCACAGAAGGGCAAAAAAAAAAAAAAAAGGGAAAGTAGCTAGATGGGGAATATGGGAAAAGGATAGAAAAAAAAGTGTGTGTCAGAGAGGATATATACAATGCACTTGCGAGGGTTAGGAGAGCCATTGCATTTCGTGAATTTATGAAAAGGGGGGACTACCCTTTCTCTAATAACCGAGGCCTCTTTTAGTATGTTGGGACCTTAGTGGGATATCTCACATGGGATCTTATTTGGTAGATGTGGTTTGACCCAAAAAAAAAAATTTATGTTATTTTTTTTTATTTCCCTTTAATTAATTTAATTTATTTTTTTATATTAGTAGTCACTTTGGATTTGATTCGAATAGATAAGAGAAATGGTAGTTAGTGAGGCATGATCCTTGAGACATGAACACTTCCATTATTCGACCCTGCCTTGGGAGGCAACCTACCTTCCCATTCCCACTCTTGGAGAAAACCCACAGAGAGATCTAGAGTGGTTTTTACTTTCTTCTCTCTCTCGCCCATTCTCTCTTTCTTTTCTTCTCTTCCTTGAGATTTGGGTGTTCGTGTTAGGGATTAATGATTGGCTATCATTATGTTGTAACCATTGTTTAGCTTATAACAATAACATAATTTATTATACACAAGGGATGGATCATAGAGCAAAATATTGCATGGTTCTCTTTGCTTGAAAACTAATTATAGGAAACTATGCACACACAATTGACTCGTTTGATTTATAAGTTTAAACAGAAATTCAAATATTTGCGAGAGAAAATACCGCAAAAGAAGATTTAAATTGTAGTTGAAACTTATGAACTAAGCGGGCCGAAATGTTTTTATTCTAGCTAATTCCTAGTTGTTGTATAGCTAGCTAGGTGATCAATGCGTTTGTTCTTTTGGGTAGAAGATAATAAATTTCTAGCAATATATATCCTTTGTTAAGTAACGAGAGGGATAAAAATCTACCAGTCATAGGCAATCAGATTCCTCGGGCTTACAAATAGAAGATGAGCATGATTCAATTCTTACCGTTTGATATATATTAAGAAGCTAGCATTAATGTTTGTCATGCAAATGAGCAACTTTACTGCAACACTTTCCCAGGCCTTTGCGGTTTTGTGGTATGAAAGTGCTGAACTTTTTTTCTTTCGTCTGATCTACATGTTTACGATATGAGATCAGCTCTACTGCTGATAAAGTCAGACATATATATATATATATATATATATAGCCGTACTCCAAGCGCGTAGTTATTAGCTACACTCT